AATAGCCGAAATATGTCCTGTTCGGTTATTCGTGAAGAGACCAACTTTAAGTAACTCAAACACCAATCAAGCAATGATTTCAGCGATTGGATGAACTAACGTAGGTGAATTGGATCAACAAGTTATAATTAATTAATGGCTCTCCTCTCGTGTTAAGTGGCGGAGGATTTTTTTTCATGATTTACAATCGCATGTCAATTAATGTGAAATAAAATTTTTTTTAAAGATATGAGGACCAAGATGGTATGGCCTTCGCTATCGTCTTAGACTCCTTTCGGTTTATTGAAGTGGGTTGAACTCGTCGCAACTTGGTCTTGTTGTTCGGGAGACTTAGTAGAACGCACCTAGTCCGAAGTCCATAGTATTTATAAGTCCCAGCATCAGACAGTAGATTCTCAAACGCTTCGCTGGCATCATCAGTAAGTGCTGCTATTCTCTGCACCAAGCTACGAACGCGTCATATACAAGTGAAGTCAATCCCTCGACAAACGTTCTGCCGGAAACGGTTACACTATCACTATCACATTTTGGTCATAACGTCGAATTTTTGTGACGGTTTGCTTAGCCGTCGGCCTAGCTCCCTGATTGCCAGGCCCCCAAACTTATACTGGTTTATTCGAAACGAACATCACTCACTGACGTCTTAGCTTGGTTGCCGAAACTTCCTTCGTAACTTGGTGCGGAGAATGGCAGCACTCACTGATGATACCGGCGAAACGTCTGAGAATGTACTAACTCCACTGTTTGATGCTGGGAATCATAACTACTATGGCAGAGGACTTCGGACTAGGTGAGTTCTACTAAGTGTCCTGGATAACAAGACCAAGTTGTTACGAAGTCTAATTACTTATAAAAAAATTTTGAGTCTAAATGTTTTCGCAACTTTGTCGGAGCGCCAGGTAGACCTTGTGGAACGTATCTAATGCCGTGTTCTCTATAATAGTATTTGTGATTTCCAGCCTTGAACAATTGGCTGGGTACATTCCTAAATGTTTCGCAGGAAATAACAAATACTACGACAGAGGACACTGTACTAGGTACGTTCCACAAGTTCTCCATGACGCTCCGACCAAGTTGCGTAAGCAAGGTCGAACAAGCAGGAGACTGCGACCAAACAGAAGGCGATCTACGATCTAAGTATTAAGGTTATGTTCAAGCTCTGTCTAATTAAGCGAACTCGTTTTCGTTGATGGCGCTTCTTCCTGGCTGGCCAGGTGCCTCTTCGACCATTGCATTCATATTCTTTTATTAGGCGTCGATTTCATAAAATAAAAGACTTCCTGATGTCCAAATAGTTATAGTAAAAGTCAAGGCGATATTTTCGTTATTAGATTTCCATTCTGTTATTTTGTACAAGTAAGTGTTAGAGAGCAGTATTTGTGGGGAAAATGAAAGGACCCATGCTGCATCAATATCAGAATCATAGATGCCTTCTCAAAGATATTACAACATATTGCATGATTACATAGAGAAATGGAATGCTGCGAAGGGTAGTGCCTTCTAATGATTCGAACATCTAAGAAATGTGCCGAAAAAAACGCGCTGTCAATTTTCGTTCAAAGCGCGACATCGATAATTAGTCGATAGTAAAAGAGCCAAGCATATGCCTATAATACATTTAGTTCATGTTATAACTGACTGACAGAGGTAATGAGTTACAAGTGGAGCAAGTAGAACCAAGTTATGTGAACAAAGAGAAAAAAATGAGTAGCCCAAAAAGGTCATCATTAAAAAATGTAAATAGAAAAATCCATACATTATATAAACATACGAAAGGAAATAAGTTATCTTTACATGTAGCACCGGAAGGCATCAAGGGAGCTTAGGAAATAATTTGCTGAAAACTAAGAAAACCGTTAAAATAATTCAAAATGAAATAAAAAATGCGACAATTTTTATTCAATATGAAATATTTTGCCGTCAAGATTGTGTAAACTAAAAATGATGCAAACGAACTTGCAGCATGATTTTAATGGTGGCCGACCGATGTTTAAAGGCATATAGGCCGAATAATCCAGCTTAGATTCGCAAGATAATTGGAGCAAAAAATATGTAAGTTTAGTGTTGGCTTATTCATCTTACTACGCATTCTCGAACTGGAATGTTTGTTCAATAGATTGAAGTAGACGCTTTGGAATCAAGTGGATATCAGCATAATGGTCCGTATATGTTTCACAGGAATCTTTGGTCAAGAAAGCCAAATAGAGCGTCAAATGGTAATTTGTGAGTTTACCTTATGGATTTTACCCTCAACTTCGCATTCAATGAGTATCGTGCGGCTCTAAGTATTGGAAGTGCATTCGTTTTTCATGAATCTGGAAAAAATTGAAGTTCACTTTCGCGTCAACTGATACGACTGGGGCTGACGCTGTTCCGACTGTAAGAAGGAACGACTATGAGTCTGACGTAAATTCGTTCCGGGTTCATTTTGCTGTGCAGAGGATAATCTTGGTTTTAGAGAAGCCTTATCAAGCAGGAGTGTGGTATCGTTAACCCCACCTGAGGAAAATGAGTCGACTGTTAATGGACTAGTGTTCGCGTAGGTAGGATGGCGTTGAAGTTGTTGCTGATATGGTGGCCGTGACCGAGTGGCAACAATTGAGTGTGCCGACCTCAGGTCTTGGCCCTTGATTGAAATTCCCAGCTGATTTATATGCTCTACCTGAAATGTTTGCGGTAATATCTGTTGTCGCAGGGAGTTGGACTGTGACAATGGCGAATTCTGAGCTTGCTGTCGCTTCAGGTTCTGTGCTGTTCGGGGTTGTTTATATTGGCGCATGATCCGTGCATACATTATAGCCTCATGAGGAGACAGATCGGCAAGTTCAGAGGAAGGCAGAAATACTGAGAGAGTCGGTGAATCCTTGATAGTAGAGAATGTTTGATCATGACGAACAACACGCCTGTTATGGGAAAATATAAATAATTTGAAAAAATTGAAGTGAATGTGTTGACATAAAAAATTAATAAAACTTACAGAACTAAAACAGTGACTACATCATGAGTCGGCTTCGAAAATACCGGTAGATATTGAATAGGAAATAGCAAATTAATCAAAGATATAAAGACCAAGATGGTGTGGACTTTTGTGTGGTCGCAGTCTCCTTTAGTTGAATAAGAAGTTGTTTGACCTTGTTTTCGCAACTTGGTCATAATGGTAGGAAGACTGATAGAAACGCACCTTGTCGGAAGTTGTTTGACCTTGTTTTCGCAACTCGGTCATATTGGTAGGAAGACTTAAAGGAACGCACCTAGTCCAGAGTCCATTGTATGCATCATCATTTCCAGAGTAGGACCGTGGACGTGATACATTCCCAGACGTTTCGCCGGCATTGTCAGTGAGTCTCGCCATTCGTAGCACCATATTAAAACTCGTCAAAGGGACAAGTGAAGCCGATCCTTTGACCAAACGTGTGCTAAACAGTTTTGGTATCTCTCCTTCTGCCCTGGCCTATTCACATTTCCTATATCCTCATATCATGCCTTACCTGTTACAGTTTTTTTACTTTACTTATTCTTAATGTAGTGTCGTGTGCTCCTTCGAGCGGCATTCATAAAAG